AGACTTGTGTGCTTCAAATGCCAGAGTTTCTGAGCTAACATTTTGGTTGCTAAGCAAGAGCGTTGTTAAGTGAGTTTCACCACATTTTACAAGTTAGCCATGCCCACCCAGTCACATGGCTGGCAAACCACTCCTACCCGGTCACATAGCCAGCAAGCCACTCCCACCCTGTCACATGGCCAGCAAGCTGCTCCCACAAAGCAGGCCACACCTACAGAAGAGGTTCTAAAAAAATTTGAAACCCACCACTGCTTTACACCCATCCTTGTACCGACCAGATGATTCCCCTTGCTTTTCATTGAAAACTCAGGTGTCCTTTTCTACCTGGTTGCGTGTTTTGTGGGACTTCTGCAGTGCCACCCGCCACTGATCGTACATTTTGATGCTCAAATTGGCACAAGTCCCATGTTTGCGCATCCATCCAAAGAACTGCTTGAGCTCTCGGCGTAGCGTGTTGTTATGTTCTCCGTTCTTGGGTTCGCAAACTCCCGGAGTCCGTCCTGAAAGAGAGGAAGCGAAGGCTGACAAGGAATATATTCCGCCGGGGGGAGGGGGGGGAATCACAAAACTCTTAACCCTTGAATGCTAGAGGAAGAGGAGGAGAGGAAGTAGACGACATGAAGAAGGTGGAGAGGATGAGAGAAAGAAGAAAAAAGAGGAAGAAGAGGAGAGCAAGAACAGGAAAAAAATGAGAGGATGGGAAGAAGAGGGGAAAGGAAGAAGAAAAAAGAAAGTCAAGCAAAGAAAAAGGAGAAGCAGAGAAGGAGAAGATGAGGGTGAGTGGAAGCAGAGAAGAGGAGGAGAGGAAGAAAAATGAGAGGATGGGAAGAAGAGGGGAAAGGAAGAAGAGAAAAGAAAATGAAGCAAAGAAAAAGGGGAAGCAGAGAAGGAGAAGAGGAAGAGGAGAGAAAGAAGAAGAAGGAGAGGAGAAGGAGAGGGTTCTGCTGGATCAAAAAAGATTTATTTAGCACAAAAGATTTATTTAACCCAGCTTCCTTTCCATTTCCTGCAACAACCAATCAGAGGCCTCTATGAAGCCTACGGAAAGGGTATAAACCAGCTTCCCAACCTACTCACGTTCTCTGCCCCAGCAGTATCAATCAATTGCAATCAATTTGCTGCTATGCAGGAAGAATAGCAGAGTTACTAGGAGTAAATTGATATACTAAACTGCACACATTTAAAAAATAACTAAATAAACCCCAGAAGAGCAGACCAGCTGGATCTAAACATCCAACTGTACAGATGCTACCCAAGTATCTTTCAAAGATGCCAGGCCTACCAGCCTGTAGTCTAGAGGCAATAATACTGTCTCTTTTGGGGCTATGAACTAGCTACTGGTATTTAGATGCAAGCTCCCCCAAATTATTAAAATCTGCAGGAGGGACCACAGAGAGGGTCAAGGTGACGACACAACTAAGTGTTCTTTGTATGTGTAGGGGTGGGCTGCTGGGGGCTCGCAGGGCTTCGTTAGAACCTCTAGCTAAGATTCTGTGCAGTTCGGAGAACCCCCCCAAATCCCACTCCTGGCTGGCCCCGCCTGCTCCACCCCACCCCTCCCAGGAGTCCCCATGCGGCCCGTTTTGGATGCAGCTAAGTGCAAGATGCGCACGGAGGCTGGGGGAGGGTGAATAACGTGTGACCCGACAAATGCGCGCCCAACAACAGTGCACCGACAAAACTGTGGTGATAAAACCGTGACGTTGACAGCACGCCGACGAATGAGCACAGAAGCACGCCGACAGAAGTGCCATTACAGTTAAGGTAGGGGTTAGGGTAAGGGTAAGGTTTAGGATTACGTTTAGGTCTAGGGTTAGGGTTAGGTTCAGGGTTACAGTTAGGGTTAGGTTTAGGGTTAGGTTTAGGGTTACCTTTAGGGTTAGGTTTAGAACGCGCTTCTGTCGGCGCTCTTTTGTTGGCACGCTTTGTTGTGCTCATTCGTCGGCGCGATTTCAAACTCGCGCTTTTCTCCCCACGGTTTTGTCGGCGCGGTTTTGTCGAGCGCGCATTTGTCGGTGAACCGAAAAACGGGCCTACTGGAAGTTCAGGAAGGGCGGAAACGGGCCAGGGGAGCCTGGGGAGGCCATTTTCGCCCTCCCGGAGGCTTTCTTCAAGTCATCCCCCCTGCCGTGGTGCAGGAGGCCAACAAGGTCATGCCCACTATGGCCACAGCCACCCAGCAACTGGGCAGAGAACCCCTTGCTAAAATTTTTGAAGCCCACCCCTGTATATGTGGAGCATAGTATATCCATGTAAGACAGTGTTTCTCAACCTTGGTGACTTGAAGATGTGTGGACTCCCAGCAGTGCTGGCTGGGGAATTCTGGGAGTTGAAGTCCACACATCTTCAAGTCACCAAGGTTGAGAAACGGATCTAGTGTGTGGTGTCAACCCTGAAGCTGGCCTGGCCGAAGCCATCTTGGAGCTTCAGTGTCACCACCGTGGAGCTGAGGGATAGAGTGGGGAGGATTACAGAAAGCTGAGGTTGTTTAGCCAAAACAAAATACTTTCTCTTGGGAACCAAGGACATTCTCACACCTGGTTCATGGAAGGCAGACTGTGGTCACCAGACAACCAGACAGCCCCTTGATTGCTCCATGTAATTGATTGTTTGGGGTTGTGAGGAAACTTTCTCTTTTAATTAGGTGATAATTGTGGGAACCTTCAGAGTCAGTTTTCGCCAGATCTGTGCCAATATGATATTTCCAATAAAACTATTCTCAGCTGCTGTAAAAAAATCGTGCAGACTGATTATAAATTGCGGCACAATTCAGTGGCACAAAT